GCCAATCACCCAAACTGGTTAAATCACAAAATATCCAACATGTAAGAGCAGGATCCAATGCAGGCAGAAGCAGGGGAAGCATTTAATATGCTTTGACGGCTCCTCAGCTCTTATCTTCTGCCCCCTTTACTCAGTTGCGCATCCACCAACCGTTAATAATAGTCGGTGGTATAAGCAGTCAAGCTTAATTAAAAATGTTGGAGGGTTTTTCAGGTTCAGACCTGTAATTACTGTTAATTCGTGGGCTCGGGTGGGGTTCGAAGATGATGGCTGTGGGCTGGGGCCGGGTCAGATTCTTTGGACCCGAGTGCAATTCTACTCCCTAAGGAGGTGCTTCGGGCACGTTAAACTAGGAGGAGACCTCAGGAAAGACCCAGGACACACTGGACAGACTACATCTTTCAGTTGGCCTGGGAATGCCTTGGGGTCCTCCCAGAAGAGCTGGAAGAGGTGGCTGTGGAAAGAGATGTCTAGGCCTCCCTGCTCAAGCTTCTGCCCCCATGACCCGACTTTGGAACAAGCGGAAGATGATGGATGGGTGTATACTAGGCTTGTACTGTTACTTCAAGTAATAATGTTAGTCCCACTAGTAATATAGTAGTCTATTAATATTTTTATACAAGTGCTATTAACAATTGCAATCCTAATAATTTTAGTAGTAATAGAAGTCAGTAGAGCTGGGCGATATGGGACAAAATTTATATCTCGATGTTTTTAAGGTAAATCGCGATATACAATATATATCACAATATTTTTTCTTTCCATAAAGTAATAACAAAAATATATTTCTGAGTCAAAGTTTTGTCCCAGTTGTCACATTTATTAACAACAGCTGTAACTGTTTAAAATAAATTCCTAAAAAAATTAACTATTTACATATTAAATAGTTTGTTTTTTAAAAATCTATTTACATATATTAAATAATAATCCTCTTCAGCTGGGGGAAGCTGTGGTTGAGAGGCTAGAGCAGCCATCCTCCAATGGGAGAGTTGGGGGTTCGATTCCACCAGCAGTCACATGCTGAAGTGTTCCTGAGTGAGATTTATTGCCTCTGACGTGTGTCCCATCGGTGTATGAATGTGATTTAAAGCTCTGATTATTCTTTGTAGAGATCTAGTAGAGGGCATGAATGGGTAAATTAATGCACAGATTGTGTTGTAAAGAGCTTTGAGTGTCTTGATAAGATAGAAAGGCTCTATATAAGTACAGTCCATTCAGCTGCACCACCTTCACATTAGTAAACCTGTGTGAACTGCAGTAGTGAGCTTCCACTTGGAACTTTGAAGCTGCAGCTCCGACAGACCTGTCTCCTTCCTTGAATCAAACCATGGTTCAGAGCTCATTTAGCCGGGCTGTGCCTTTTAGAGGAACAGAGAGAGGTAGAGCAACATTAATAAATCGGCAGTTTATCATATCGCTAAAGATATGGTCCTTAGTGGCTAACAAGACAGCAAGCAATTTATGTAAAAAGAAAGAAACCATCTTTAAACAGAGGAGGAGGCCTCAGATTTCGACTTTCAAAAACTTATATTACAGCTTTAGGATTGATACCCAGCCAGTTCCACACTTCTCAGATGAGAACAGAGGGGCCTCACCTGTTAATTAGATTAACAAAGACCTTAAGAAACCCCTACTGTTAAGGTGTGAGTGATTTGTCAATCTACATATGTATGTGTATCTTATCTCTGCTTTATAACCTGAACCCCCCACGCTCTGCTCTTTGAAATGAGAAAGCTCCTCGGATGAGGAGCGAAACGTGTTCTGTTGCAAATAAAGTCCAGTTGTTTTTGTCTTGAACATTTTTGAATTTATCATGTCCTGGATGACTGAGAATCTTCACCAGCATAAGACAGCAGGAGGATTTCCAAGTGTATATCATTTTATATCGAGATAGTCTCAACTTATATCGCAAAAAAATTATCAATATTTTTAAGATATCGAGATATTGCCCAGCTCTACAAGTCAGGTAGGAATTGAGTCAAAAACTTCACTGCTATCTCTCTCCAAGACATTTCCAAACCTCCACTGGTATGTCATCAGGTCTTACTGCCTTCCCCTTCTTCGTTCTTTTCAGAGCTTTCTGGACTTCACCCTCACTAATCTTTCCCACTTCCTAGTCCACAGTTTCTATGACCTCTATTCTTCTTTCTTTTTCATTCTCTTCGTTCATCAGCTCCTCAAAGTACTCCTTCCATCTTCCCATCACACACTTCTCACTTGATAGAACATTACAATTCCTGTCTTTACCAAACCTAACCTGCTGCACATCCTTTCCAGCCCGATCCCTCTGTCTCGCCAATCAGTACAAGTCCTTCTTGTCCTCTTTAGTGTCCAGTCTCCTTTACAACTCATCATATGCCTTCTGCTTTGCCTTTGCTACCTCCATCTTTTCTCTACATTGCATCTCCTTATATTCCTGTCTCCTCTCTTCAGTCCTCTCACTGTCATATCTCTTCTTGGTTAATCCCTCCTCTGGATAATTTCATGCATTTCACTAACTAAACATTTAAACTCGCTAAATAATAACTAAAAGCTAAAATATTTAAAACATATAAATACTAAAACAGCAAACCAGTAGTTAAAAGCTAACATTAGCAAAAATTAAAGTTATAAAAGCTTAAACTAACAAAACAATAGCTTAAAGTGAAATAAATGTGCAAATTTCAAGTAGCAGTTTTTTGAGGATTTGGAGAGATCTGTACGGAATTAACTGAGAAACAAAATTGTAAATAAAATTAGATAAATCAAAAGTGTGACAGTTATTTAAAAAATATTCATAGCTGTAATGTCTTGAACAAGCTGAATGTTTTGATAGCTGAAAGGCTGAAATAGCTGGAAGCTTACTGAAGTTGTTAATCCAAGAAATGTTCAGAAGAAAGTATACACAGGAAAACAACAGTGCTGAATCAGCATTCACGCAGTTGACTGTCATGAAACTTATCCTGTCACTATCTTGAATTTAACAACAACATGTGTTAAAGCAGAAACTTGGTGTTCTTCTGAACAACACCGAACCAACTGTCAAACACACAAAAAGGTCAAGTATATTTTACAGGCACTGAGCTCGAATTTGATGTAGTAGTAGCTGAGAGTTCACAACACATACTCTAAATGTTGACAGCAGGGGTGTTTCTAAGATCTGACATTTTGGAGTTCTTAGCCCCAGTACTGACAATGGCTCTTGGCTTGAACAACGCACCCCCGGTGTGGTTTGTGAGAAGTGCAAAAGTTTAAAGCATCTGGTATTCCCAGGTGGGCTCCCATGGAAGTACTAACCAGGCCTGACCCTGCTTAGCTTCCAAGCTCAGACGAGATCAGGTGAGTTCAGGGTGGTATGGCTGTAAACGAGGTTCAGTAGTCCCTCGTTTATAGCGGGTGTTTGGGACCACGCCCACCCAAGATAAGTGAAAAACCGCAAAGTAGGGATACGGTAGTCCAAGTTCAAGTTCAGTTCAAGGTCAGTAAACTTTGTCCTGACATGTGCCAGGCTGCAATCACACTGTTCACCTGTTACTCCCAATCTCCCTCATTAAATAAACAATTTAAATTTAAATACTGTAACATTTTAAATAAACAATCCATGCAGCATGGATTGTTTATTTAAAATGTTACAGTATTTAAATTTAAATTGTAGAGAAGAGAAGTGCAGCAGGACATCAAAGGGATGACACACAGCTTCAGCTCTGCAGCACGGAGCAGAAATGTACTGTTTGATCAATTACACTGAAACAACTGAACATAGAAGTTCTAAAATAATTAAAAATAACTTTTAACACTTATATTTTGTTATTATGATGCTACATACTTTGAATTTTAATATGGAACACAAAAGTCGATTGGTGCATCTGGACAGCAAAGGGTTAACCTTTCACAAAGCTGCAGCAGGAGAAATGTGTGTGCGTGGCAGAAAAGATCAGCTGATCAGCTGCAGGAGGGAGCTTTCTCTTGCACTTGTGGGCTGCACACATAGTGCAAAATCATTTAAAATAATTTATTTTAAATAAACAACCTATGGCTCATCCATCAATCAGCCAATTGTGTCATGTGCAATCTTACTTTGAAAAACCACGATATAGCGAATATGGGATAAATGAACTGCAAAGTAGCGAGGGACTACTATACTTGTATCAAAGGCCCCCTGGCCGGGATTTGAACCAGGGTAGCCTGCTCACTGAGAGGCAGTAGCTCTACCAACTGTGCCACTGCGCTGCTCATGCTTTGTCCATCTTTTACATTTTTCCAGACTCAGTTTAGTTTTTGAAATGTATTAAACTGTATTCCACCCACCAAACGCTCAGGGTAACGTGTCTGAGTTACTGTACATCCACTGACAATGTTGAACCATTTTTTTTCTGATGAGTTTTCACAAAATCTCTCTGATCACAAAGTGTTTGTGATGCAAAACCCTGATAATGTTGTTGGAGGAAAAATGGGTGCAGCTCCTGCAGGTAAGGGGCGTTTCACTTTGAGACAAACTGAGATCGCTGATTGGTCAGTTATTGATATGTCTGCTGGATTGATTGACAGGTGGTGTAGAGGATCCAACTCATGCAAAAATAAAATCATAGATTTTACTGCCCCATTTAAGAGTGTCATCATTTGTTTCATATTTATTCCAAGCGTATTAAATATTTTGGTGAATCTAGGGTTTGAGAATTAATTAAGCTTCCTTACACAATCCTAATGATGGTTTCTTGATTTTTCAGGGGTGCTGAGTTAAAATTTAGGGGTGCTTGAGCACCCACAAAAGAGACTAAAATCACCACTTGTTGACAGATCTTACAATATTGCATAGTATGAAACATTATTTTCAAAGTTTGTCTAAATCAAGAACAGTGCCATTCTTAACATAAGATGGATGGTCGTATCTAGCAACTGAGATTTAGACAAAGAGGACAAAGAGTTCGTTCAGCCAGCAGTTTGTTTAATTTGAGGCTAACAGACGTTTATTGTGAATTATTTTCTTCCAGCATAATTGATACCATGTTGTTCCTGTGCAGGGAGAAGACTAAAACCATTGACGCTGACGCCATCGGCAGAGACGTTTCTGCAGCAGACAGAGCTGTGAATAAAGCCCACGACATCCTGACAGCAGCTGGGCGAGACAAAGTCCAGGCCCAAGACCAAATAAAAGATGTAAACTAAAAACCGCTCTGATCTGTGTGACTGCAGCTCAACCCTCTGACTTGTTCATGTGATCACATGTTGGTTCTGTCACATTTCAGGTTGAAGATAAACTGGACCACATAGAGACAAAGCTGATGAACCAGTCTGAAGATCTACTAAAAGACTATATAACTCTAAAAAATAAAACTGAACAAAACAGAGCGATGGCCAGAGAAGCCAGGGAGGCTGCAGACATCGCTTTAAACATTACTGATCAAATGGTAACATTTAAATAACTCTCTTTCACTCTGTATTTCTGAGGCTGACAATGATGACCTTGCCCGTGTTTGTGTGTTAGTAAAATATTTCATGTGTCGTTAACAGTTTTTACAGACAGTACAAATCTAAACTTTTGGAGAATATTCAAAATTTCCACTACAGCTAATGAACATCAGCCAACACAAAAGTGGTTATAGCTCTGTCACTTTGAAGATACTGAGCTAAATCCAACAAAGTTCAGTCAGATTCCTCTGGAGGGTTTCTTTTTGTTAAAACATTTCATATTTTATCCAAAAGACTTCATCAGTCTGAGGAGCCACAACAAACTCAGTATTATAAACAGCACCTTCACAAAGTGGGTCAACCAGTTTGATGATGATAAGATGGTTTCTGGAGTCTCCCTCTCCCCTGCCAACTGATCTGAGGCATCATGGCCAAAATGGTTCAGAACATCCTGACTCATGCTCAACAATCCAGGTATTAAATCCTCAAAAAGAAACTGTTCAGGGGACCTGACTTACATTTGTTGGATTTTTCTACCTGGATTAGTGAGCATGAATCAGGATACACTGTGCTAAACTTTCAGGTGGTAGAGTCATTTACAACAGACACTCTGAGCCTGGGCTCTCACAATATAACTAGATTAGATAGATAGATAGATAGATAGATAGATAGATAGATAGATAGATAGA